GGCTCAGTTGCCAGGCTGCAGAGAATCCAGTCACCAATCTATGCAGGCCCACAAGTTGCCTGAGGGCTTGTTGTTGGGTGGGGGCAGTCTCTAGGGTTGGCTCCCTGTCCTGGCTGAGCTGGATTAAATCGGTGCTCTAGTGGGTGGGGCATACCTTGGACTAGCAGGCCCCAGGGAGAACTCCAATGGCATCTGTGTCAGCCTGCCCACACCAGGCCACAACAATGGCCACCGCCAATGTCCCAGTCCCTGGCAAGGTCTCACCTCTCACCGAGATGCACTCAGGGCCTATCAGGTGAGTCTCTTTTCACCAAAGCGCTATGCACCTTTCTTTCTGGTGATTAGGATGCTTTCTGAAATGGGTGAGTTTGCATGCGGGCCCTTTAAGAGCCGGTTTTAATTTCTTTGTGAACCAGGTTTTCTGGGGGTATTCCCCAATGTTTTAGTAGCAGGCAAAGTCAGATATTATGCCACTTGTCTCGATTGTGCTGGGTCCACAAATTTCTACAGCTGGGGCGCTCTCTGGCTCAAGGCCCCACTCCTCCAGGGAGGCTGCGTACCTCGGGCTGCTCCCAGGCGGCCGTGAAGCTGGCGGCTTGTGAAGGTGGCATTTTTTTCTCTCCAGAAGGGAGTTTCTGCCTCTTCCACCTCAATTAGGATTGTCCTTTGTTGCAGTAGTTCCTCTTATCCGGTTTTCATTTCTGTCTCAGGGGTAATTTTTCCACGAGTAGTTGTAAATTGGCTGTGTCTGTGGGAGGAGGTGAGTTCAGAGTCTGCCTACACCGCCATCTTGACTTCTCTCAGCACACACTTATGCTTATGGTCCACTGGTGAGAGCTTAGGTACAAAGACGTATCTAGCTGCATTGGCAACTGTGAAATAAATTTATTCCAGGAAGTATCTTTTCAGCTGAAATTGGGGTATATTTATAAAGAAGAAGGTTAAACTGGATATTAGGGAACAACTTGCTCTCTGTACCACAGAAAAGGATAAGCAGACAGATTATCTCTCAGTTGTCAGTTTTCAAAGCTTGCCCATCTGGTTCATAAGCATGAGATCAGATGCATCAATTTTTGCAAATTATGGCTTTATTGTTTGTTTGAGTAAGTGCTAAGGAGTTAAAGGATGTCTAAGGTCATGCTTATGGAGCACGGACAGGGGACTATGATGGTGAAGGGAATCTTATTCTGGAATCAGATTTTGGGGATGTGATTACGAGATGTTGGCCTCCACATAATCCTTTGGAATAGAACTCACTCTCCTCTGAGTGAATTTCCTCTTGGGAAGGGAAAGTGGTGGAAGCGTTTGGGTGGGAATGCACTTCTCTATGTTGGTCTTGATTTTTATAAAGAATCAGTTTAGAGAAAATTAATCCAGTTGCAGTAAAAGAGATGCAGATTGGGCTTTAAGGATGTATTCCTGACCTCTGAAGACTTTTAGGGATGTCTTAAGAAAAAAGAAAGTGATTTTGGCATCTCTTATAGTAGTTGCTTTATATAAGCAAAGACTTGACATGGTCAAGTATGGTCTAGCTTGGAGGTACAAGTTTGCAATCAGGGACTGTCCCTTCCTCCCTCCCTGCTGTCCTGCTGCCTTCTGCCTTCATTCTTTTCTGCCTGCCTACCTTCCCTCCTTCTCCTTCTTTTTTCCTTTTCTTTGACATTTGCTGAGGCTCTACAACATGCCAGAAGCAATGTTAGGCACTTCAGTGAACAAAGTCGTACAGACTCCTTGTTCTCATAGGGCTTTCAGTCTTGTGAAGAGCTGGATTAATTGAAGAACCAAAGGCCAGGAAGGCAATGGAACATGTACAAAAGAACTTGACTTAGTTTGGGATGTCACAGAAGGCTTACTTGAAGAGATGATACCTGAGCTAAGGAAATAAGGATGCATAGGAGCTAACTAAGGACAGAGGAGGAAGAAGTATCCCAGGCAGAGGAACAGCTCTGGAAAGGTCTGGAAACTAGAGAGAGCAGAGGAAGAGAATTAAGGAGAAAGAAGCATGAGACAAAGCCAAGAAGACTGGATTCTTTAGGGCTTTGTAGGTAATGGGAAAGATTATTTATTTAATCCTGAGAGCTGAAATTCATGCATTCATGTGGTCATTTTTCAATATTTAATAAATTGCTTACTATGTGCCAAGTGCAAAGACAAAAACATTTGCCCTCATGGAGCTTACCTTATAGTAGAAGACAGACAGTAAACAATATATGTATGTAAAATATATCATATGTTAGATGGTGATATGTGTAAGAGCAATGGTGGCATGTGATTAGATTTGTGTTTAGAGACCCGTATGGCTACATCTTGGAAAACAAGCTGTGGTTGTGTATGTGGGGTGGGGCGAGAAAGGGAGAAAGGAAACCTGTTTGGAAATCCTGCATCATCCGGGTAAGGGATGACTATATCTTTGGACTACAGTGGTGGGAGCTGCAACCCCAAGGAGTGGAAAGATAAGCATTGGCAGTCAAATGGACAGGACTTGGTGAGGGACTGGATGTTGGTGGTGATGGAGATCTACTGACCTAGTGAGGCATTCACTCAGTTACCAGCCCTAGAGGTGAGATCATCACTTTGTTTCTGGCATGATAAATTTGAGGTGCCTTTGAAACATCCAGTGGGGGTGTTGGTGGAGTTAGGTGGTGAGGAGCTTGGAGGAGACATCTGGCTGGCCTATAAATATGCATGACTGACTTTGGTGTCAGGTGGTAACTGAAGCCATGGCCATGAATGAGCTTGACTAGAGAGAGTGTGGACTGAGAAGTGAAGGGTCTAGCACCAGGTTTTGAGGCACTCATCACTTAATGGGAAGGAGTGGGCCAGAAGTAGGAGGGAAACCAGAAATGTCGTGTCATCGCTAAGGGAAGAGAGATTTTCAAGGAGGAGCTAGCAACAGTGCCAACGCTGTTGAGATTAGATAAGAAAATGTTCTTTGTGTTTATCTATTCATTCAATAGGTATTTATTGATGGACTCTGTGTGCCAGGCACTATTCTAGGAGTGCATTAAAAATCAAAGTCACTGTATCCCGAATTGCACAATCTAAAGGGAAAAAGACACATCAAATACACAAGTGAAGTTAGAGAAAGATGATGGGATGGAGTGGGAATGTCATTTTGGACAGAGTGACCAATGCAGCTATCTCTGATATGGTCACATTTGAGCAGTTCCTAAATAAAGTGAAGGAGAAAGACATGGAAAATGTGCGAGAAGTGCCCAGGCATAGGGAACTCTGTGTTGAAGGACCCCAAGTTAGGACTGTGCTTAAGAATTCTAAGCAAGAACAAGGGGGCCAGTGTGGCTGGAGGAGAGGGAAGAAGAAGTTTTGGGAAATAGCCAGGGATGAAGGGCTTTAGGGGACCTTTGGTGAGAAGGGAGGCCCTTAGATATTTAGTGACATGGAGATGATGGGTGACTGCTGCTTTGAACAAAGGATGGCTGGAGAAGCCAGACTGGAGTTTTTGAGGTAGGGGAGGGGGCAAGGAGTGGACACAGATGATCTGGACAACTTTCTGAAGAGAAGGGCCATGGCTGGAGGGGAATGAGGGGGCTGCCCCTTTCATTTCCCTGCATGTGGATTTGGGACTCTTGATATCTGTTCCCAGAGGGGAATCCTACAACAGGCTACTGGAACCACAAGTACATCCTAGAGGTAGAGGGCCCTCTCTCCTGGGTCTTAAGCCATCCTACCCACCCCACACTTCCCTATGACCTTTTTCATTGCTCCTGTCACTTCCTTTTTCCTGAGGCTGTAGATGACAGGTTCAGCACGGGTGTGAGGACTGTATAGAAGATGGACACTACATCATCCTGGCCAGGAGAGTGGTAGGATGAGGGTAACATGTAGGTGTAGACTAGGGACCCATAGAAGAGGTTGACAACTGTCAAATGGAAGGAGCAGGTGGCCAAGGCCTTCCAACGCCCCTCCACAGAGTGCATCTGGAGCGCAGCTGCCAGGATGAGGGCATGAGAGGTGGTGATGAAGGCAATGGGTGCCAAGAGGACCACCACACCCATCACAAAGATCATCTGCTCGTAGGCCACGGTGTTGGCACAGGCCAGCCTCAGCAGTGAGGGCACCTCACAGAAGAAGTGCGCAATTTTCTGTGAGCCACCGTAGAGGAACTGCAGGGTCAGAGTGGTCTGGATGGTGGCACTGAGGGACCCTCCTAGCCAGGAAGTGGCCACCATGAGCATGCAGGCCTGGCGGCTCATGAGCACTGGGTAGCTCAGAGGGTTGCTGATGGCCACATAGCCGTCATAGGCCATGAGGGCCAGCAAGAGGCACTCCGAGGCTCCCAGGAACATGGAGAAAAACATTTGCATCCCACATCCCCCAAATGAGATGCTTGTCCAGCCAAAGAGGAAGCCCACTATCATTTTGGGGACGGTGACCGAGGTGAAGAAGATGTCCAGGAAGGACGGCTGGCTGAGGAGGAAGTACATGGGCTTGTGGAGCCAGGTGTCAGCCCAGATCAGAAGAACCATGGCAGTGTTGCCAGCCGAGGCAAGCAAGTAGACCACCACCGTGATGCTGAAGAGAAACAGGTGAACCCAGCTGTCATTACGAAAGCTGGTGAGGATAAAGCCGGTGGTGGAGGAGTGGTTCCAGAGCCCTCCACCTGCCTCCTGCCAAGACTTACTGTGGGGAGGAAAGTGAACCAGCTCACCAAGGGCTCAGAATCATCCACTTAGTGACAGAGAGAGGGTAATGGATGAAAAGGGCAAAGGGCAACAACTGGGGAGGCTGGCTAAGGAGCTACAGGAGTTCTTCCTAATGTTCTTGCAAATTTTTGTAGGTTTGACATTATTTCACAACAAAAAATTACCATAAAACACATGGCATGCAGCCAAAGCAGTGTTGAAAGGGGAACTTATAATTCAAAATACATGTTAGAAAAGAGGAAAGGCTGAAAATCAATGATCAAAGTTTCCATCTCAAAAAGCTAGAAAAGGAAAAATAGCACATTAGAACACCCCATATTTTGTAAAATATGCATACAGCATTATTTCAAATAAACAAATAAATAAGTAAATATGCACACAGTAAAAAGTAAGACATTTACACTCATGCCTAATCTGAAGACTAGATCCATAAATATGTGAATTATGTGGTTCAAAATTCTTACTTACATGAGGATCTATGTGATGCATTTTTCTTAGAAATAGGCAAGAGACTACAACTGTGGCAGACAAGGTGTGTTTTATCAGCTAGTGGAGCTGTGCAACATCATGTTTCCCTTGTTGCCCTGGCCCTCAGGAGCTCCAGATGTGCCCTTTGTGCTCAGATGCAGTAAATGCTCTTATGCTGTTTTCTGGACATATGTTGTCCTCATCCTCTTACTGTTACCTCATTTCAATGGTTTCACTATAGCTGAGTCTAAATAATTATCTTAGTAAGAAGATCCCTTATAAACTTTTTGATAAAAAATGGCCCTCATTATAAGTGTAAATCTATGGGCTCCATGATAGGAGTAGATAAACCAGTTTCAACAGTTTCTCTTGAGAAATATCTGGGGCCCTAAAGTTCTCCCTTCTCAAATTACATTTATTCAGGTAAAGGCAATCTCAATAAATGTCAAGTTAAGCTACGATGGGAAAGAAGTCACCCAAAGGCAGTTTTAGAAGGTGTGGACAAGGAACAAGCTCAGATCATTCACTCTGCTGTAAGAGAGATGGCAGAGAGCTGCCCACCAGGAATCCCTGATTCTTCATGGCTTACTTTCTCCTTGGTTCCAGGGTCTCAAATCCTAGCAAATGCCGTGAATTCTTGCTTATATTTCTGGGCTTGAGTCTGATCGCAAATGACTTAAATGAAGAGATTGAAGAGAAATAAAATGAACTTCCCAGTGTTCTATAATGAGTTGAGAATATGAGAGTATGTTGGAGCTGGTGGACACCATTGGGTCACTAGGTTGGGACCAGAGGAGCAGCAAAGTGTTTTGGAGACACAGCATGTCAGAGATGTGACAGACTATGGCCCTAATCTGCATACCCTTACGAATCACTAGCAGGGCTGTGCAATCTATGGGTGATCTGTTTTTCCTGTTTTCCTGAATCCAATCCCTAGGAGGGCACCCTGAGCACCTGTGCTTCTCAAAGCTCCTAGGCTACTCTAAAGTGCTGTCTGAGTTGAGATCCACTGACTAGTCTACTGCCCACATCTTATAGTTGAAGATGCGAAGGAAGCCAAGGCTTGCCCTGGGTCTCACAGGTAGATATCAGGGAGCTGTGACAGGAAAAGGCTCGCCTCAGTACTTGTCCTGGCTCTTCCTCCTGTGCCAAGGGGCCCATCTTTTCTATGGCCTTAAATTCCCAGGTTTCTCACACCAGGCACATAGATTCCTCAGAGCTGGATCAAATATGTTCAGAGTGTAGTAGGGCCCACTCCCAGAGCCTATCTCTGGACCTAAGCACAAGAAGTTAACACTGTTAAACACAAACATTCACAATGGGCTTCTAGTGAAGATAATGACGTACTGCATCTATTTTCTATGTTTTATGATGCTTTGACATCTTGAGGCCTTGCAGACTTGGGGGAGAGACTACCTCTCCAAGGGTGAGCTAATTCCTAGAGATAGTAAACAACTGGCTTGGAAGCATGTCTTTGATGTGAAAACTAACCAATCCTGAGGACTTACCCCCATCTGCCTCTTTCTATCTGGCCTCTGCAGTCCAAGACACTAGTTTTCTGCCCTAAATCACCCCAGGACCAGGTCCCAGAAAAGTAGAGACCACCCTTATAGCCCAGAGCCCACCGAAATTATTCAAACTATGTAATCTTAAACCTGCTCAACTGCTTTCCCCGCCTCACCCGTTCCTTCCCACAAAAATCACAATAAAGATTTTTGCCTATGCTTTCCCCTCACACCTTCTGCCTCCTGATCAACCCTGGTGCTTCTCCATGTGGTCCTGCATGACACAGTGTACCTCTCTTCTTGGGAATGTGAGTAACAAACCATCTTTTCAATGGCGATTGTCTCCTGATATGTTCGCTTCATCAAACCCTGAATAAAAATGAAATCCCAGGTACATTTTAAATTCCCTCAAAGAGAATTTCCGTATGTTGTTCTTATTCTGGCATCTTGTAGGCACAGCTTATGTTGTTGGTGTCTTAAATGTCTCAGAACCATTAGATTTTATAGCGGGAAGAAACCTACTCCATCATTCTCATTTTATCCATGAGCAGTGTGATCCTTGGTCAACAATTTTTTTATTTTTTAGACCAGATCCAAAATCCTCATAACTGTTCTAGAGCAGGGTTTCTCAAACATGGCACAATTGGCATTTTAGGATGGAAAATTCTTTGTGATGGGGAGGATATCCTGTGCATTTCAGGACATTTAGCAGCATCCCTGGACTCTCCCATTAGATACCAGTTGTAGATCTGTACACCAAAAATGATAAAACATTGCTGAAAGAAACTGAAGAAGACACAAAGAAATGGAAAGATATTCCGTGCTCTTGGAATGGAAGAATTAACATAGTTAAGATGTCCATACTTCCTAAAGC